AGACTGTTGCGCATTCTGGCATACACATCAACAGCAATTTCAGCAGGATACTGATTGGTTTAACAACGGACTATTCTATCTGGGTAAAAAATGTCAAGAATACTCCAAACTTTTAGCGGCTAAAAAACATCAACAGGAGATGGAAGTTCATCAACAACTGCAGCAACTAGAGCAACATGATCATCCAAACAGTTTGCATAATGGCCAACACACACAATACACACAACCAGAGGACTGCTCAGAGGTTCAAAGGCTACAACTGCGACTCCAGACCTTTGGTACACAACGTTGAGAAGGAACACGAATAAGAGGAAGGCTGACAAAGCTACAAACGAAAGGAACAATGGACAAAAAATTCTTTAGTATGGCTCGAGCACACTCGCACAAAACAACCATCGAAGCGTTATACGACTCGCAGACCGGCAACCACGACATTGTCACCTCCTCCCCCCACTGGTTGCAGATAGCCAGATCCTTTTTCAAGGATTTGTTCACTTCAAGATATGCACAACGGGAGAGGAACGTCAGGGAGAAGGAAATATAAGATTTCTTGAAACCACTGGAAAAGACCCTGACGGGCCAGCAACAAACAGATCTGAATCGTCCCCTCTCCAAGGAGAAAATCTGGACGGCAATGATGCAGATGGATGAAGAGAAGACCCCGGGCATCGATGAATTTCTCGAGGAATTATGGGAGACCTTCTGAACCCAGATGTCCCCGGACCTCATGGATTTCTATTGCCATGTGTGGGACACATGGAGGATGGGGGAGTTGGTGGGGCAAGGTATCCTCAACCTGCTGCACAAAAAGGGGGACAAAATGGATATCAGAAACTATCGGCCGATAACATTGCTCACAGTTGTCTATAAGATGCTTGCAAAAGCTCTGACAAACCGACTAATTCCGGTCCTAGACGACATTATTCACCCAATGCAGACTGGTTTTGTCAAAGGACGCAGAATTCAGGATAATATCCTCTTAGTTAATGAACTTATCAAATTAACTAGGCAAGATAACCAGAATGTGGTTGTAGTATTCATAGACTTTGAAAAAGCTTACGATCACGCGGACTGGCTATTCTTAGATAAACGTATGAAAAAATGAACATCGGATCAGTATTCCAACGTTGGACCGAAATACTACTTCATAACGCCACTGTCCAAGTCAATGGAAGGTTAGCGTCGGTTTTTCCGCTGCAACGATTGGTTCGCCAAGGGGACCCTTTGGCACCCTTCCTCTTCATCATAGTGATGGAAGCGCTGACAGGGAACCTCCACGTCAATAAAGACCTGAGGAAACTGCAGATCTTCGCTATCCCAGAAGACGCAATCCCTGTTTGCTCGATGTTTGCTGACGACCTGACTCTTATGATAGATGCCACTACAGCAAACATGGAAGAAATTAAGAGATTATTTGACCGATTTACAGCAGTTTGACATTGGACCGATTTACAGCAATTTCAGACATGACTGTCAATTGGGAAACAAGACCTTGGGGTGGTGGATCCACCATCAAGGGGTGCGCCCACCGGAGCTGCCACGGGTCAAATGGCTCCCGGAGACGGCCCCTGTTAGAGAGTTGGGAATTAGGTTGACGGCATTAGGTAAGCCAGCATCGAATGATGAGTGGATCCTTGAGCCTGCTCTATAAAAACTAGCCAACTTTAAACAAATAGCCAGACTTGCCCCACAGGTACCGCAAGGAGTTAGCCCACTGACCTGGCTGGAAAATTGCTTTTGGACTGTGTTGCGGTACCCCCGTATAAAGCGAGACTCACCCCGAGGTACCGCCCGTTCGGACCTGGTCAGAGACAACTTCTGGACCCGAGTCATCAAGGCTTGGCGCCAATTTCCGTTGCCCGATCAACCCCCACCAACCAGGTGGGAGGAGGTGATGCGCCAACCTCTTTTTGGGAATAGGACGATAACAGACCGGTACAGCAGAATGTACCGTAGCTCAGACACCCCGTGGAACAGTTGGGTCAAAAAAGGCATAATCTGAATAAAGAATATATGGAACATAGAAGAAGGGGACTGGAAAATGGGGCCACAACTGAGAACCATACTAAAGCACTGCCACAAGATTGAGGAGAACATTGATCTGTTGACCTTTGCAATCCCCCTTGACTGGGTACGCATCTTGCGCAAAGGGCCACGACTAATAGAAGGGGACTGGGTAGCTGCCCCGGGGGATCCGAAAAGTGCAGGTAATGTGGAGGTAAGGGCAGACGAAACGTTGGTAAACCTCTTCCACTTAGACAAGGAAAATAAACTCACCCCGTACCGCCCAAATGTGATCAGATGGTGGAGAACAGCTGGCCTGCACAGGATACTCGTACTACAGGATAATGATGTTTGAATTGCATATCACCCAAACACCCCCGTAATGAAGCTTTCCTTTGACCCTGATGAATGGCAGTGGATACCCGTTCGAAAACCTAAGCCAGGGATGAACCTAAAACTGCATGCTCTATCAGTGAAGGCCACGTATCGTCTGCTTCGACCAAAGGTGAACATAAAAGATACAGTGAAGGCCCGATGGAGGTCACACTTGAATGTAGGGACTGAGGCAATTCACCTGATCCGTTGGTTCACTGCCACAAGGTCTAGGCCTGCGAAGATGGTTTCCCTTCAATGGCAGATAGAACACCACTGCGGCGTTGTCTGCCCACCAACGACTGATTGATAGATCGTACATACCTGGAGCAGAAGGGGCGGGCATTACCGTGGTGCAAGTCATGCCATACTACCTTTCCCCCCCGCAGAGTCCCTGAAACCATAGAGCACATATTCATGCAGTGCCCAGGGGCAGTTCTTACATGGCGATGGTGGGATAGGATATGGACTCAGTTGGGCACTGGATCTCACTGGCCATGGGATTGGAGGGTCTTATTATGCGAGGCATGGTCCTCCCCCATTGACAATACCTTTGAAAATGATATGTTCAAACTCGGAAGGAGAGCGGTCATGTGGACCCTTTGGAGGAAATGCTGTATACATGCTCTGGAGTAGGTCCGTATAACTGGGGAAGAGGCAACAGACATGATAAGGCAATACATTCAACAAAAACTTATGGTACACTGGCAAAAAATTAAACGACTTATATCATTCAGCAAAGGACGTAACACAGGCAATTCAACATTTTCTGGAGACTGGTTGGGCAGTGAGAATGTGGGCTGGATCGCATATGTCAGATAGGAGGGCAAGCCCGCCAGGAAGGCAACCAGGAGGAATTCAAGAGAGACTACCGTATCTGTTTCAGAGACTGGACCACTGTGGGCCAGGAGATCCCACTGTGACCTGCTACAGAATTCCCTGACCCCTTCCCGCCCCACCAGCTGGCAATGGTGGATATGCAATGGTATGGAGCAGACTGAACAGGTGACCCCTGAGGAACAGGAAGTAGCGACCCCTGAGGAACAGGAAGTAGCCGCATTGCTCACCTTTTGAATATTCTAGAAGCAACTGAGCGTGAGGGTTCTGTATGCAACTGAGCATGGTTTTGGAGTGTGCGGCTCCCCTGATTAGTATCAGTCCTTAGCGGTCTATCTGACGCCCTTTTATAAGGGTGAAGAGATACAAAAAGGGATTGGCTGCCCTGCATGCTCACACAAGGCTACTTTGCTGGATATTACACAGGATCTGCTCAGTCAATCCCCTGGGTTTCAGGGCAATCAATGCTGGCAGACTCCATAGCCACTATTCTCATAGGGTCTGATCAGTCAATCCCCTGTTGTGCAGGCCCTGCAGGGTAATCAATGCTGGCAGACCTCACACTGTTTTTCACCTCCTCAAGATGTTTTCTTTCAAGGGACGCTGGACCCGTTTTCCAGCAGGTGACGCTCCCCACTAATAGATGGAGCCTCTCCCCATGTCTCTTATACACATCTAGATGTGTATAAGAGACAGGTGTCTGCTCTTACCAGCAGCACTAACATTGGTGGGGGTGTTTTTTTTAAAAAAAAAAAAAAAAAAAAAAAAAAAAGTTAGCTGTGGACTTATTGCGTGGTTATACCCCAAGTTTTGCATTTCCTGGCCTAATGATCGCCAACCTTAGCTGGCTTCTTGCATATACCCCCAGCGAGTTTGCTTTCCTTGGCTGACTGATTCCCAAGCATGATGTGAGGTGATTTCAACCTGTACCGCTGCAAGCAGCGAACAATGGGAGACACTGAAGTCTCGTACAAAACACATGTTTGGCAACACGAGTAAATCAATTCTCACCAGAGTAGGCAAAGAGGGAAAGGATGGAAGGGGTGGAAGAAGCCGGGGAAAAGGAAGGATAAAGGGGAACGAGGAGGGAATAAGAGGGTAGAGGGAGAAGGAAGAAGAAGATCGAAGGAGAAGAGAGGTAAGCAGGAGTAAGGGATCGAAAGAGACCCATGCTTGGCTGTTGGGTCAGCTGTCCACCCTACTATCAGTTGCCCCTTTTGTTTCCTCCCAAGATTTCCACGTATGCTTCCTCCGCCATCTTCCTTGCACGGAAGTGCAACACTGCTTGGTACCTTTTTGCCAAGGTGGGACCGCTGGTGTCCTGCTCTCCCAGCTAAAGGCGAAGAGCACTGCACTGCCCGCTCTGAAAGGAACGCCGCACACACACACACACACACACACACACACACATATATATATATATATATATATACAGAGAGAGAGAGAGAGAGAGAGAGAGAGAGAGAGAGCCTGGTCTTACAGGAAAGCCACACACACGCACACACACACACACACACACACACACACACACACAGAGAGGAGGGGGGGGGGGGGGGGGGGGGGGGGGGAGGGGGATGCATGGACACTTCGCATGCACATACACGTATAGTGAACTTTACCATTGAAAAAATTAAAGAATTCGCTATTCTAACAACTGATATTTAACTAAACTGTCATCAAGTAGGTTCAAATTTGAATGTTCATCAAGTTCCAGCATAGCCTGTGAGAAACTGAAACTGCTGAGAGATTATTCAATCCTGTCTACGGTTATCGACTTCACTGCAATCTATTCAAAGTTTATTTTATTATTACTGATGTAACGGATGTGTTTCTTGAGCTTCCTTGACACTTCACCAACACGAGAACATCGAGAAGAAATAATGCACCTCATATCGTTCGCCTTATTTGAAGAAAGGATGGGTTTTTGCAAAGAACCCAGTAGAACCCCATGAAGCCAGTGGGCCGCCAATAAAGGATGACTTCAATGATTCGGTTGACTTCAGAAGTCGTTCGACTTGAGAAATCAATCGACTCCAGAAATCAGCTGAGCTCGCAAAACCAGATTACCCCAGAGACTTTATTTTATTTTTTTGAAAAAAAAAACATGACTAAACTTTAATATCTGCAGAAGATTGGGAGCAGCTTCCCTCCGTTAGATCAACTTAGACCCCGGAAAATCAGTAAACCCCCCTGAAATTAGTCGACGAGGGAATGTACTTGTCCCACTGGTACCAGCAGTGGAACCAGAAATCAGCTGTCTTCTGGGAACCAGCACTGCTGCCAGCAGTGGTGCCAGCGGTGGTGCCAGAAGTGGTGCCAGCAGTGGAACCAGCAGTGGAATCAGCTGTGGTACCAGCTGTGGTACCACAGTGGAACCAGGAAGGACTCAAATCCAGGAAGCAGTTTCTACTTCTATCCCAGAAACAACACAATGGACCAAGACACTGGTGGACCTCAGTTGATCCCACTGACCAGAAGCTCAGTCCTCAGTTTAGAGTTGGGTTTTATCTCCTCCTCCTCCTCCTCCTCACCAAAACTCTACCGAATGTTCGTGAGGTAAGCCAAAGCTCCAACCACACCTACCGTGTACAGTGCGACGGTGTACGAAGGAATGAATCTGGGTGAATTGATAAGCACATATTCTTCAATCGATTGACTTTCTTGCATGCTGACGTCACGGAACACACTTCTGACGTTCCGCTTTACTAGTGCTCTCGCTTGTTGAGGGCGGACGGCTGCTTCATCGGGAGATTCAAATGTGCACTTGGCCTCGAATCCAGCATTATCCATCTGGAGATAGCTACAGGTGGGAGAACTTGTTATAGTCAAACACCCAGCAAATCAGATAGTCCGATAGCCAAATAGCTAAATAGACAGCTAGTTCGACATAGCGACACCCATCCAATCAAAAAGCTGCATAGCCAAATAGATAGCAAGGTAGCCATGGCAACAGCCAGACAGATTAATGATGCAATCAATAGCCGGAAAAAGACGGGCTAATTTTTCAAACAGGGGCACTTGCAAGTTTTTGTTGTCACTGGTCGGCTTGAGAGAACGCTAATTGATCGCCCTTTCGTTTCATGTCCTTTCACGTCCTTGCTCTTCATCGTGTTGCTTGCCTTGAGGAGATGCAGTGCGCAGAGGTCGCACCTGCGATTCTGGCGCTATGCCTCCTCTTGGCTTTGACGTCTTTGCGGATGAGCTCCCGGAAAAGGGGTCTGGTATCGCCTTCAGAGTCAAAGCCATGCAGATTAGAAGCAGGCCAGTCATGTGCTGCTCTGTGAATGGCTTCGCAAAAATAATATACGACAGCAGGACTGTGAATGCTTTTCTTGTCGTCGTCACCTGGAATCCAAGGAAGCGAGGCATGGGACAAAAGGGTTAGCAACTTAGCAAGCATCCCCACAAAAGCTCATGAAAACCCGAAAGGACCAACAAAAGGGCTTTCCATGAAAAGAAAAGAAAAAGCAGTCCTCCCCCTCCTCTTCCCGGTCATCGCCCTCTCTTCGTCCTCCACCTCCTCCTCCTCCTCCTATGCGTTTTCCTCCTCCAGCTCCCTCTCCTCTTGCCTGTCGTGCTGCCGTTCTGGCCCCTCCTCCTCCCACTCCCGCTCCTCTTCCCCGTCCTCCTGTTGCCGTTTGCTCTTCCCCCGCTCCCGATCCTCCTCTTCCTCCTCTCCCACTCCTCCTCTACTCCTCGCCCTCCCTCTTTGCTCTGGTCCGCTCTCCCCTCCGTCCTCCTCTGCCTCCTCTTCCTCCTCCACCTCCTTCGCTTCCTCCGCTTCTTCACCCCGTCCTCTTCTTCATCCTCCTCCTCCTCTTGCTCCCGCTCCTTTTGCCAGTCCTCCTGCTGCCATTCCCGATCCTCCTCCCGCGAGCACTCCTCCCGCCACTCCCTCTCCTCCTCCCGCTTAATCGCCTTCCATCACAAACCCAGATTCTGGTGCTCATCTCGTGCCTTTCCTCCTCTTTCGCGTCTTGCTCCTCGTTAGGAAAACAGGTCATTCTTTAACCGCTCTCTCTCTCTTTCTGTGCCCCCTCTTCCCACAGCCCCCTCTCCTGCTCCTCCCTCTGCTCCTCCCCCCGTTCACTGGCCTCGTCCTCTCGCTCTTCACACTGCCCCCACTCCTCCCGTTCTTTCTTCCCTATCTTCCTGCTCCTGCTCCTCCTCCTCCTCCTCATCCCGTTCTTCCTAAATCTGGCGAAGCGATTGCCAATCATTCGTTCAGAAATTAACCACAAATACGGTACATACTACACAGATCATAAACACAGAGTTGTCCTCCAAGACATCCGTTAAAATTGAACGATACAGAGAAGATTAGCATGGCCCCTGCGCACAGATGAAACTCCAAAATCGAGAGGGAAAAAAAAGAAAGTTGAAAACAAAAAGATCGTAAACACAGCAAACAACAACAACAGCTGTCTCATTCAGGGCATACTCACACGGGGACTTTTTCGACTAATAAGCATCTGGACTAGATTGCGGTCAGATGCATCTATGCCCAGCCGCATTTGGGGTCAGATACATGTAGGGAAGTGCTATTGTGAGTATGCCCTCGGATTCAAAAAGACGAATTCGATACACTGATCCCACAAAGCGACTACCATCACCACCACTCAGCACGCAAATAGATAAATAGATGGGGAAGTAGCCAGTATTGTCATGCATAATTGTGGCGGCCCACCTTCCGGCTGAAGAGGCACTGACCTATCATACTCCGATCAAACTCGGTAAACATTTTCTGCGACATGTAAAAAGGGACGCTGGGCCCGCTTCCCAGCAGGTGTAGGCTCCCCACCAATAGACGGAGCCGCCCCCAGAGAGCTTGAGAAAAGGCCCTGAAGCAGCTTGAGTCACCTCAAGCTGCTTCAGGGGGCTTTTCTCAGCCCCCCGCCCCCCCCCCCCCCCCCCCCCTTCCCCCCCCCTTCCCCCCCCCCACCCCCCCCCTCCCCCCAAAAAAGAAAAAAAAAAGAAAAAAAAAAAGACAGATTTCCATTTACAATGGTGATTGTATCGACAAGAAGTCGTGAAGACAGATTTCCATTTACCATGGTGATTTGAATCGACAAGTCGTAAACACCGATTTCCATTTACCATTATGAAAATGATTGAACCATGGTGATTGTATCGATAAGTCGTGAAGAAAGAAAAGATTTCCATTTACCATGTAGGTTGCAGCAGCGCCGAAGAGTGCAACGAGCGAAAGGACTGCCATTTGCGAAATGTAGGCAATCATCGAACTCCCAATCATCAAGACGTACACATGAGGTTTCTGCACATACAGCAGCATGAAATCACCGAGGTCCAGAGAATTAGTGGGACAAGAGATCAGGTGACACTTCTCTACTGAATCTTTCTAACGCAAGCTCCAGGGAATAAGGGTAGGTTCAGGCAATCAGAGTCACTGGACCAAATACGTCTGGCAGAGCAATGGGCCCATGATGGGCCCAGGCGCACATACCTAGAGAAGCCAGGCGTGTCGGTGCTGTGCTGTTGTAAGCAGACGGGCAGTGTGCGTGACACTCCTGCCAGTCCGGGCCAACTTTTCGGCTTGTCCTTTTGAGAGATTGTTCAATCCACGTGCGGTCACATTTTTGATCCGTGTGATGACTCGTCCAAACATGGACTAAAACACACGGCTGATTTCTGAGTTTTGCCCATATACTGAATGCCTTGTTGAGTTTCCCGCCTGCTACTAAGTCTGTGTGTGCACGCTTGCTGGACTGCATGTCTGTCTGAGTGCTGGTTGGCTTGAGTGAGTGTGTGGCCCCCGAAGGCACTTGTTCGTTCATTGGGCCCTCAGGGCCGGTAGTTACCTGTGGCTGTGACATTGAGGGATTGCAGCGGGAAAAACACTCAAGTAGCGGGTAGGCCAGTACCGCACCTTGAAGAGGTAGATGTGCGGGTACTGGAGGCCGAGCAGAAGAAGACAAAAGTGGCATTTTTAGAGGCCCAGTAGTTGTAGGTTAGGTCTAGGCGAATACCAGTCCAACCAGTCTGGGTCTAGGGCCTGTACGGGCAATATCAGAGTCTGCAATGATGTTTCCCTCCGAAACGTAGGAGGTACCGGTTGCTTGGAAGGCCAGCGGCCTGGAAGTCACCGCCCGAAGAGGCAAGCAGGCCGCTATATCTCCCAGCCGGGCGAAGAGCCCAGCCTCTTTCTCGGTGTGCAATTTTGGCGACACACTGGTTGAAGCATCGGTTGGAGCAGCGCTATCCAGGAGCAGCGCTGCTGGGGGAAGGAGAAGGACACGGAGGAGGAAGAAGGACAGGAAGGGGGAGGAGCGCCAGGGGTACTTACCTGGCTATGGTGGCAGCCATCTTCATCACCTTGGTGGGCACTGCAGCAGGGAGTCCCCAGCTGGGGAGAGCTACACCAAGAAGCTTTGAGGCAGGGTCAGGCATGGCTGCCTGAGCTAGAGCAGCCATAGCTGCTTTGGGTTGTCCTTTGGGCATCTGGGCAAGGCCTAGTAGTCCTCCATAGCCTCGGCCTATGATGATGAAGGGAGGAAGAGGCGGCCATGGCTATGGTGGATGTTACATACTTCAATGAGTATGGGCAGAACCAAAGATCAACCAATGTAAGATGAGCATATATGCAGCGGAAGTCTGATAAACGGACTGACTCACATAGACTGACTCACACAGATATCACTCCACACACATACAATCGTGAGATGGTGGGGTCTGGGCCACGCATAGACGATGCCCAGACCTCGTACACACATACACAGATGAGAGGTGGGAGGAGAGACGAAGGAGGTGGGAGATATAGGTAGCACCAGATGTCACCGAGATAGAAACCAGTAGGTCACCGATATGGTAATCCAAAATGTCATCGAACAAGATCAAATGTCGCGGACAATAAGTCACCAACGTCGGAGATACAGAGTCCTAATGTAACCGGTGTCCAATCTGTGATGCAGCCGAGTATCATCCCCAACAATCTCCAAGTCTCGAATCCGGTAAGTACCACAGCCTCTTACCACCGAAGTCCAACTCTGATCTCTGTCCAACTAGTATAAGTCTCCAGTCTGAAGAAGAAGAAGAAGAAGAAGAAGAAGAAGAAGTCTGGAGAAGAAGAAGAGGAAGAAGGGAGTCGAGGAGGAGAGAGAGAGAGAGGGGACTGGCGACGGGAGGGAGGAGAGAGCCCCCTGTCTCCCGATACCTCAGGCGGCTATGGCCGCCGATGTGCCCAGTCACCGCTGCTGCTGCCGCTGCTCCTCTGGCTCCTGCGCTAAGAATAGCGCCAGCGCTGTCGCGCCGTACCATACCGCACCGCTAGAGTGCCGGTGGGTCGATGCCTCGAAGTGAGGCCGGACCAGTACTAAGTACTGGTTCGAAGAGGACCGGCCTCAATGCTGCGAGGCCTTGGTTGGGGCTGAACCGTCCAGATCGACGATTCAGGTCCAACCGGAGAGCGGCAGCCTCAAAGGCGCCGCCAGGCCCAAAATGAAATGTCGTTTGGGCCTGGTCCGTAATCTGGTCCAAGTCGTGGCCT